CGCTCGCTGTTGTCGCCCTGTTGATGACGTCAGTGACGCAGTTTAATCGGGCGCACTTTAGTCGAGCGCGGTTTTGTCGTGCCACGATGGAACACAGCTTACAGAAATAATAAGGAGAGTTTTGAACAAGAATACCACAGTGGAGAAGGCCCTTGGGTTTCTGGGAGAAAGATAGATATAAATCAAATAAATAATAAATAATGTACCTGGTAAAGCTAAAGATTCCACAGTACCTTATGAAACAATTGGCTCCCAATGAATCAGTTGCTGACAGCATAAATGTTCAGCTGCAAAGATTGAATGTGCTTTGACAACAAGGTCATAGTAACTGTTCCAAATTCTTGAGCTTAAACCAATGCAAAACAGTGCATTGCACAAAGGCTCTATTATTATTTTCCTATTTTGTCACTTTTAAAAGGCACCAGATGGTGTCCTTGGCTTTTATTTTGTTTCTGAAATTCAAAGCTAATAATATTTCATGGAAAAGGCAAATAGCAGTGGTTGAAGCTTTCTTGGGTCTATAATTCCAAGCAGCATTTGATATTTTCATGAGAACACTTTATGGGCTTGTTTCTCTAAATACAGAATTTTGAACATATGGTGCATCAAAACCAGAAGGCAGGCAGAGAACAATCTGCAAAAATACAAACAAAAATTATAATAACAAACAAAGGGAAATGATGAATAAAGGGAAATAATATCTCATGTATCATGACATTAATTTGCCCCACAGTTTCCACCCTGGTTATTTCTTGAGAATATAAAATATGGAGTTAACTCCTTGATAGACTACTGATTTTATTTCAAATTTTCATACACATTCATGTAGGTTAAAATTCTCAAAGTATTGTTGGTCTGGATAATATGGATTAATTTAGTGAATTAAAATTTCCAAGTATTTTAATTTTTTTATTTTAATTTCTTTCAGTGGAAGTTGCCTACTGTACCTCTGCAAGAATAATTAAAATATTGTTAATGTTAGAGATCAGACAGATACTTCATTACAAATTGTTCCTGCTTCTAGAGAAGCAGGAGAATGACTTACCTTCAGATCAGAATGATTCCTCTTATTTAAACTGGGTTCCCAAACAATGGCACTCTAAAACGTGAAAGAAAGTAAGAATAAAGTGTATTTCCACATTTAATTTTGAAAACACAGAAGTTCAAAAGACACTGAATGAAGTGCATGTAGATTTAATAGTAAACTGAAACAGAAGCTAGGGGGACAGCGAATTTCCCTTGCAAAGTTTAAAACCACCCTCATTCCCCATTATAAATTATTCTTGTGTATTGTGTGCATGATTTGGTAATTGTGCTGTCATTTTTATAAATACTAGATGACAAGATGAAGGATTTAATGTAGCTTTAAAATGTTTTGATTATATAGTTGTATTTTTCTCTGTTGCAAGACCATGTACTGAGGGATGCTTAAAAATATGTTATGATCATAGGAATTTTTTTAGATTGGCTATAAATAATGGGGATAGAAAGATTTTCTGATTACACACAAACACAATCCAGGGGTGGGTTGCTGCCGGCATTAATGCCAGTTCAGCATGCAAAAAATTGAATCCCTGCCATGTGTGTCCATAAACTATTGGATCCAGAACAGCCCTCTTAAGCGTGGAATACACCATACTTCTTTAGAGCTGTTCAAATCACCCTTTCTAGAAAAGTGGCATTGATAATATCTTTTTATTTTATTTATTTTATTTTTTATTTTNAGTAGGTTCGAACAATTTTTGAAACCCACCACTGCATCCAGACTAAAAATTGTTCTGTCCGTCCAATTGGAATTCCACCCAGTTTAACCTGAAAAGAGCGACCAATTTTGACTCACTTTCTAAAGGTCTGCAGGATTTGATGTCTACTGTATATTGTTGGAACAGATCATTTTAAAAAATGGGGCCACCACCAAGAAGACATGCCTCTGAGGTCTTACAAGTGTAATTGTTTCAGTGATTAAATATAATTGTTTCAGTGATATAACCGGGAGGATTCCTCTTGAGTGAGAAATAACCTGATACTTGAAAGTAGTTGACCCCCCCCAAAAAATCCAGTTTTATGCCATGTAGGGCTTTATGGGTGATCACCAGTATTTTTAGTTATAGCAGAAACCTATTGGAAGCCAGTTCATCTAAAGGGAGTAAATTGGAGTAAAACGGCATGATGAGGAATGTCCATAACTACTTTACTCATACTTTCGTGTTCTAGACCAGTTAAATCTTTCAGGTGATCTACAAGGTATTCCCAATTGGGAGTGACTAAGGCATGAGTAACTGTGACAAGTGCTCCTCTGCCATACCCCCTAGCCATAGGTGCCACCTGCTTTTCCAGCAGGAGCTGTGAATCCAGGAGGATTCCCAACTTGTGCACTGAATCTGAATTGTGCAGTGCGGCTCTGCTCAGAACAGGTCAATAGTAGAATTTTCAGTTCTAGGATTCTTGGACCAAATCAAATAGACACTCAATCTTGGAAGAGTTAAGCCAAAGCCTGTTCTTCCCCATCCAGATCCCCACAGCCTCCCGACACTAGAAAAGAACCTTGACAATGTCATCTGGGTGACCAGGGATAGAGATCTACAGTTGGGTATCATCAACATAGTAATGATATCATGGCCCTGCTGATGTTAATCTCTGCCAGTACCTATATTCATATGTTAAGAAGGAGAATGGAAAAAAGAAAGCCTTGTGCGTCCCCATAAAGCAGGGATCTAGTACAAGAAAGCTGCTCCAACCCACAACCCGCTCTTAACAACCCAATGGGGACTGCCAGGATTGTTTTCAGGATGCAGTAATGTAATCTAGCATCGCACAGTGATAGAAATCCCCATCCCAAGTACTATTGTTAAGTGAGGATCTCCTATAGTTACAAACTATTAATGAAATATTTCCCAAATTGGGGTATATAACAGATTAAATGAGATGAAACTACATGAATACATGAAATTTACAAGAAGCAGAATAGCAAATGAGTTGACAAAAATGACAACAAAAGACTGGTGAAACGTGAACAGATGCATGGAACACGGTTCCACCACAAAACCGTGTTCGACTAAAGGGCACTCGACGAAACCGCGTAGCTGACGTCATCACAGGGCAACAACAGCGCGGAGACAGAAGCACGCTGTAAACGCTAAACCTAAAATTAACCCCTAAA